AAGAAATAAATATTAAAAAAAAATTTCTAAAAAAAAAAAAAAAAAAATAATATAATCTGTCTAAACATAGAAATGAGACTAAAATGAGGTGATTATGGTTATAGAATATAAAATATAAGMGATAAAATCAGGGGTAAGTAATAGGAAATATGAGTATACTCATTTCCTCATTTTTTCAGACTGGGAGATCAGAAATATTTAAGTCAATAAATTCAAAGATACTGATTTGCTCAGTTTTTAGATATTAATGAGAAATTTCAAAATTACTAATCTGAATTCCTTCCAGAAAATAATTTACTATAGTAGATTTACTAATGCTCTGTTGAAAAACTAATGATTAGCTCATGGTGTATGTGGATAGAATAAAACAGTTATGGATACTGTAATTAAGAATAGAAAGTTATAGCCAGGTGCAGTGGCACACATCTGCAATCTGGCTGCTCAGGAGGCTAGGCAGGATTGAAGGTTTGAGGCCAGTCTGGAAATTTTGATTATGTCTCAAAATAAAAAAATAAAAATGGCTGGGAAGATATAGCTCAGTGGTAGAGTGCCACTGGGCTTAATTCCCAGTACAAGAAAAGAAGGAGTAGGGGGCCGGAGGGGGAAGAAAGGAAGAGGAGGAAGAGCAGAAGGAGGAGAAGAAGAAGAATAGAAAGTTACTAAATAGATGGATGAGGCACACCTGTAATCCCAGCAGTTTGGGAGACTGAGGCAGGAGGATTGCTAGTTCAAAGCCAGCCTCAGCAAAAGTGAGGCACTAAGCAATTCAATGAGACCCTGTCTCTAAATAAAATACAAAGTAGGGCTGGGGATGATGTAGCTCAGTGGTCAAGTCCCCTGAGTTCAATCCCTGGTACCTCCCTCCAAAAAAAAAAAAAAAGAAGAAGAAGAAGGAGGATACTAAATAAACTTAAATTCACTCCATTAAAAAATTTAAAGAGCTGGAAGGTATAGCTCAATGGAAGAGCACAGGGTTGGCTTCAGGTTCAATCCCTAGCACCCAATACAAGAAGTGTGTGTGTGTGTCTATGTGTGTGTGTATTTAATTAGCCAGTATTATGTCCATAAATTTAAAAAAAGAAAGAAGAAAAACTATTCTTACATCCTTAAATGGCCAACTTTGGTAGATGAAAAATATGCTACAGCAAAAGCAKCCCCTCTCAACAAGAACCAAAGACTTAATGGAGGAACTATGATTGGGCAAAGGGGAAAGGAGGGGACATGGGGCCAGGAAAGATGGTGGAATGGCATGGACATCATTACCCTAGGTACATGTGTGAATGCAGGTATGGTATGAAACTACATCGTGTACAACCAAATGAATGAGAAGTTGTGCTGTAATTGTGTACAATGAATCAAAGTGCATTCTGCTGTCATGTCTACCTAATTAGAATAAATAAATAAATAAATTTTTAAGAAGTATGTTATTAAAAAATATATTAAATGTAAAAAGAGAAAAAAAAAAGAACGAAAGAGTTGAATCTAGTATTTTTTACCCTGCAAATTTGGATTTGACTATGAAACTGCTTTGACCAATAGGACATTAACATTGCATGAAACAAACAGAAGCATGAGAAGTGTTTACACATTGAGATTTTTCTTCCCTTGCTTCTGGGAGCTGAGACTAAACTAGGAGCTTAGGCTCCAGGAGCCTAAACTAGGCTGCTGGAGGATTAAGAGGCCACAGGGAGAGTGGGGCCCTGCCATCCCAGCCCTGTCATCTGGACTAAGGCCGCATTTCTACCTTTGTGTAAGACTATCTTAAACAATCAGCCACAGCTGAACTGCCCCAAGCAAAAACCAACTGCCGAGTCCTTCTGATTCTATTCTGCACATGAATCATAAGAAATAATAAATGGTAATACTTTTTATCAGGGTTTTACGTTTTGTTTTTTGCTGATTTTTTTTTTTTTTTTTTTTGAGACAAGGTCTCAAGGCTGGCCTTGAATTTGTGATCCTTATGCCTCAGCCTCTCAAGTAGCTGGAACAGGCATGTGCTACCACCATTGGCTAAATGGTCATAATTTTAAGCCATTTAGCCTTAGGGTGATTTAGTACAGTGTTACAAGTATACTAATGATAGGAATATAAAATCTCTAGGGAGATAAATTTGGCCATGTGATTGCAAGAGTTTTATCATATAGTTTTATTTCTGCAAGTGAATAAAGATGCATGTATTTATTTTTGTTTCAGGGAGAATTCTTTTTTCCCCACATGCAGCTTTATATTATTATTATTATTATTTCAATGCTGGGAATTGGTCTAACGCAGGTCTTGTGCATGCAAGGCAAATCCTCTACCACTGACTGACACCCCTAACCCCAAGGGGAATTCTTAATTTCAAGCAGTTGAACCCACTGGAGCATGTGTACATAGAAGGGAATCTATAAAGAACATTAAGTAACTTGCAGATTCTCCAAGAGAGCCAAAAATTCAGGCTGTAGTGTTGGCTAGGCAGCCAGGAGGAACCCTCAACTTTCCATAGGGCTGCTCTCATAAGGTGTATCTCTACTACTTCCTTCACTAGAATGTGCGATCTGTTAACCATGTGTTTCCTTACCTTGCTTACTGCCAGTTGGAGTCTTGTGGTACCTTTATTTATTTGATGAAGTATAGTTCACATATATGCACCAGACTGTAAGGAAGGCTGGAAAAGCAATTTTCTGCTCTTCTATTAGGGAATAGATTTCCTAACCAAGCAGAGAAAAGATGATTAGAAGGTATTAGGCATTCTAAAATATGGCAGATGTGGTCTGTGATATCACAACAATGCTGTTTATATTTAAGAACTGGAAATAATCTAAATGCTTATTAGTAAGAGACTGGTTAAATTTGAGATATAGATATATAATGAGATGCTATGCAGGTATTTAAAAAAATCAAGTAGACTTTTATGTACTAACATGGAAAAATGTTCACAATATTTTCTAAATTTCAAAAGCCAATTGCCAAAACAATATGCATTTTTATATATTTTTTTATATTTTTAGTTTCATTTGGTTGTTTTGGGGTTTTGTTTTTGTTTTTGTTTTGTTTTTGAAATGAGGCCTCACTACACTGCCCACAATGTTTGCTTATCCTCCTGGGTTTAAGTAATCCTCTTACCTCAACCTCCCCAGTGTTGGGACTGTAGGTACATACCATGACACCAGCATGTGGTATGTATTTTCAAAATGTTTGTTTATATAAGCATAGGAAATAATTAGAAGGATATATACCAAACTGTTAATAGTGCTTCCTTCTGGAAAATGGCCATTGCCTTTCAAGGCAAATGTTGAATGAGGAAGAGATCATTTGATGCTTCATAGTGTGTGTGTGTGTTGCCTTTTAAAAATATAATAACTTTCTTGATATAATTTCACCCTTTTTAAAGGGTACAGTTCAGGGCCRGGGGTTGTAGCTCAGTGGTAGAGTGCTTGCCTAGCACATGTGAGGTCCTGGATTCGATCCTCAGCACCATATATAAATAAGTTAATTAAATAAAGGTATGTGTCCATCTGTAACTGAAAAAAAATTTAAAAATAAATAAAGTGTTCAGTGGTTTTTTAGTACATTCAGAGCGTATAACCATTATTACCGTCCGATTTCAAATATTTTCATTATCCCCAAATGAAACTCCTCTCTCCCTCTTCTTCCCAGTGCTTGGCAACTTTACATCTACTTTTTTGTATGTTTGTTTGTTTCACTAAGTTGCTTAGGACCTTGCTAAGTTGCTGAGGCTGACCTTAAAACTTTTTTTTTTTTTTTTGCAGGGAGGGGGAGACTAGTCCTTCTGTCTTGTGAATCTGTTGTATATATCTGGATTTTCTTATTCTGGACATTTCATAAATGGAATATGTGGTTTCTGTGCCTGGCATCTTTCATTTAGCATATTTTCAAGAGTTTTATCATATAGTTGTAGCTTTATCAATGCTTACTTTTGGGGTTTTTTGTTTGTTTGTTTTTGGCCAAATATTTTGTCACATGGAATATATCTATTTGCCCATTCATTGGCTGATGGATATTTGAATTATTTTTAACTTTGGGCTATTATAAATAATACCACTATAGCCAGGTATTGTGGCGTACACCTGTAATCCCAGTTACTCTGGGAGACTAAGGCAGTAGGATTGCAAGTTCCAAGCCAACCTGGGTAACTAAGATCCTGACTCAAAATAAAATAAAGTAAAATAATTCTGGGATAGTTCAGTGGTAGAGCATTTACCTGACCTACATGAGGCCTTGGGTTTAATCCCCAGTACTACAAATAAATAAATATTTCTATGAACATTTGTATGTAAGTGGAATTACAGGATTATGTGGTAACTATTATGTTTAACAGTTTGAAGACCCAGAAACTAATTTCCAAAGAAATTGCACCATTTACAACCCTACCAGCAAAATGCTTTAGGGTTCCAATTTATTCACATCCCCACCAATACTCATCTGTCTATACAAGACTGTGTCATCTATGAACAGAGATTTTACTTTCTCCTTTCCAATCTGGATGCCCTTTTTTCTTTTTCATGCTTAATAGTCCTGACTAGATATATTGTTGTATAGAAGTAGAAAGAGTAGACATTCTTGTATTCCTGAATAGAAGGGAAAGCAATCCAGTTTTTTGCCATTGTGATGTTACCCTTGAATTGCATGTTGTTTTTATATTTTTTTAAAAAGTTCTTTTGAGAATCAGATTTTTTAAATTTTATTTATTTATTTATTCTAATTAGTTCTACATGACAGCAGAATGCATTTTGATTCGTAGTACACAAATGGAGCACAATTTTTCATTTCTCTGGTTGTACATGAAGTAGAGTCATACCATTTGTGTCATCATACATGTACCTAGGGTAATGATGTCCATCTCATTGTACCATTTTCCTACCGCCCATCCCCCCTCCCTTTCCCTCTCTCCCCTTTGCACTATCCAAAGTTCCTCCATTCCTCGAATGCCTACCCACCCCCATTATGGATTAGTATCCACTTATCAAAGAAAACAATCGGCTTTTGGTTTTTTGAGATTGCCTTACTTTGCTTAGCTTGTTATTCTCCAAATCAATCCATTTACCTGCAAATGCCATGATTTTATTCTCTTTTAATGCTGAGTAATATTCCATTGTGTATATATACCACATTTTCTTTACTCATTCATCTATGGAAGGACATCTATGTTGATTCCCCAGTTTAGCTATTGTGAATTGTGCTACTATAAAAAAAACATTGAAGTGGCTACATCACTGTAGTATGCTGTCTGTCCTTTAAGTATAAACTGAGGAGTGGGATAGCTGGATCAAATGGTGGTTCCAGTCCAGGTTTGCTCAGGAATCTCCATACTGCTTTCCATATTGGTTGCACTAATATGCTGTCCCACCAGTGATATGAATGTGTCTTTTCCTCCACATCCTCACCAACAGTTATTGTTGTTTATATTCTTTTTTTTTAAGTGAATATTTTATTTACATTTTAGTTTTCGGCAGTCACAACATCTTTGTTTGTATGTGGTGCTGAGGATCGAACCCGGGCCGCACGCATGCCAGGCGAGTGCGCTACCGCTTGAGCCACATCCCCAGCCCTGTTGTTTRTATTCTTGATAACTACCAGAGAATCAAGTTTTTTTAAACTCTTAATTCAATATCATTTGGTTGATGTTTGTTTTTTAGTGACCACCTTAGGAAAATAAAATTTACATCATTGCTTCTAGATAATGTTTTGTAAGTAAACAAGTAGAGATAGAACATAATAGCACGTCTATTTCCTTTCTAGGAGGTGAGAATTAGTGTGGCTTCTTTAATCTAGGAGGTGGGCTTAGCTTGGATTCAGGATGGGTCCATGTGATACTTGCCTGCTATCTTTATTTCAATGTATTTTGTTCAGTGAATATTCTTAGAATGTCTACTCTGTGCCGGGACTGTTCTACTCATTGAGAGTATAGCAAGAAATAAGTCAGCCCAGGTGTCTACTCTTGGGTTTTTTTTTATATTTATGAATAAATGTAAATGGATTGTTCCATGTTTTGAGTATCATCATTTTTTAATTGACAAGAATTTTGTATAAATAAGGTTCTTTGTTGGTACACTACTAAATGTATGATACTACAGAATAGTGATGGAAGGTTTAGGAATATATTTATAATCACAGCTACTTTTACCAGGAACTATGGAGTGTGCCTATAGTCCCGGTTACTGAGGAGGTTGAGGCAGAAAGATCACATGAACCCAGGAGTTCAAGATAACTGGGCTTAGGCAACAGAGTGGGGCCACATTAAAAAAAAATTATAGCTGCTTTTATTTTCGCAGATGGAGAGCTGGTCATTAAACAGTATATACATTATTTCTGTGTTTGTTGGTTTAGAACTTGCCTGATATGTTTTCCTGTACCAGATACTCTTCAAAAGTATTACAGTTTAGTAGAGAGGATAATATGTAGAGAAGGAAAGAAATGAACCAGCATTTATTTTGTACTATTTGTCAGAAATTACATTGATGCTTTACCCCTACTAATCCTCAAAATCCCCTTTTAAGGAAGGTATCATTACTATGGATTTTTCATGAGGGAGCTATGCTCTGAAAAGTTAATTAATTTTCTAAATGTCACACTAGTGGTGTATACATAATTAATTAATATAGGATAGCTGCCATATTAATGTGATTTTATAAGAATTTTAAAGAAGCAACAATATTTTCTAGTTGTATTAGGAGGAAAGCCAGCATATGAATTGAAAGGACATGGATGCCAAGGATGTCAGGGTATGAGAAGTTACATTCCAGTTGTAGGAAATTRTATATACATGCAAGCCCATGTGTTCTAAATATTTTTATTTCCAGTTGCTTAAAGTCAGCAGTTTAATGGCCTCTTTCTCACCAGAAATTGAAGTGTGAGTGTCTAACCTGTGATTGGGTACAATGCCTTGAAGAGGAGTTTGGCTCAAGTTTATTTAAGATGCCTCTGGTGTGTGAATTGTTGTGGGCTGCTGTGCAAAGGCAGTAGGACCCTGAGAAGGTCCTTAAGTGAGTGTACTCAGAAGTCACAGGCTCCTGAGGGCACAGGCTCTCTAAGAATGTTTCCACTGTGCACTCAGTGGACAATGAGTACAGTGAGTTCTCTTCTTGGGAGCCTCTGGTGTGGATGTCTTTTCCCTTATTGCAGGCTTCCTGATCTTTCTTATAGCACATGGAGGTTTCCCTTGGAATTATTCAGAAACTATGAGAGAGTTTAGGTAAGAGAAATGGGTCCACAACCCAAAGTAGTATTCATATAGCTCACTCCTCCACCATATTTGGTTCCAGCTGAAATCAAATAAAAGGATTAGGACTTGCTAACAGCAAGGAAAGAAAATCCCTGCCCTACCCCAACCCACTGATTTTTGAACAGCATTAGTACCCTCTAACTACTCCAACAACAGTTCAGAATAGTGCCTCCCAAGATTCCTACTTTATTGGGAAGAAAACATAAGAGCTCTGTGGAGCCAGAGGACCAGGCTGTCTGCCTGAGCCCCACCACTTCCCACCTGCATATGAGCCCTTAGGCAAGGTTATTTTTATGTGGTGCTGAGGATCGAACCCAGTGCCTTACACATGGTAGGTGAGTGCTTTATCTCTGAGCCACAACCCCAGACCTTTGGATTTATGAATAAGATTGGACTGGGAATGTAAATCAGTACTATAGCACTTAGTATCTTCTAACTACTCCAACAACAGTCTGAGGCCTTGAGTTGCATCCCTAGTGCCTCATGAAAAAAATAAAACCAGCTCTCATTCTCCATCTCCCATAGACTAAAGAGCTGGTAAGCCTCTCAATATCCCCTCTGCCTCATTCTATCACTAGTTAGCCACAGAGATTTCTATGAGGTGGGAAGTTTAGTGCAGAATTTTAAGTTTTGAATAACCATATCTTCTTAATATTCAATACTACCTGTTGCTTGCCTCATCAGGTAGGTTAATTTGCATATCACTGGGCTGGTGGTGCACACCTACCATCCCAGCTGCTGGGAAAGCTGAGACAGGAGGATCTTAAATTCAAGGTCAAGTCTGAGTAATTTAGTGACATTCTGGGCTTGGTGGCACATGCTTATAATCCCAGGCTCAGGAGGCTGAGGCAGGAGGCCAGCCTGAGCAATTTAGAGAGGACCTAAGCAACATAGCAAGACCCTGTCTCAAAATAAAATATAAAAAAGGTTGGGGAGGTAGCTCAGTGGTTAAGCACCCTGCCCCACCCCCACCCCCCCAAAAAAGGTTTGTGGTTGTAGCTCAGTAGTAGAATACCCCTGAGATCAGTTCCTAATATAGTGCTGTGGAGACTTATATGTCAGTGATATTCACATTTTAATGAGAAATAATCAAAGACATCCTTGAGATGTATGGTTTTAAAATCTCCCATCTTTTTTCTCCTTAGGTTTCTCTTCCCTAAGTGTCTTGACCAGTGTTCACAAGGTGAGCAATATGCTTTACTTCCTGCTTGCATGCCTTTTACATTCTATTCATCGAAACGGACTATTCTACTGCTACCATTCTGAAATCTAAAACAAACCAACTCGGCCCAGAGAAAACTTTGACATCTTTCTTTTATCATATTTGGTAGACAGATTTCTTGTCTTAATGGCAATGAACTGCCATAGCAGCACCACTCCTGAACTCAGGTCTGCCCTGGCCTTTCAGCTAATATCAGTCAACTGAGGAGGTATTCCTAGCCTCTGGATGAATAAGATCTTGACACACTGCTTCTTTTCCAAGAGTGCAGAGTTTGACCCAGCAGAAACTGTCTTCCTTAATGTCCTCCTACACACATTGGAATTTTCCACACCTCCTTGAAAACATTTAGAAAAATCCACCCATCCTGCAGGTTTCATTCCATGTGTCATTGTCCTACTACCTAGCAACCCTGGAAGCTACACTTTTAGTCATATTATCTGTGATTGCCTGGAGATGCAGAATAAATTGTAAATTCCCTGCAGTGGTATTGAAATGCTCTTTGTTGTTAGGAGATATGCCTGGGGGCTAGTCTCCCTGAGCCAGCCCAGCAAGCAGAAATCTGATGGAAGAAAACAACTCAGAGTCCCCAGCATGGTTGTGCCCTGCTGTTCCCATTGCCAGTACACAGGAAGCAGAGACAACAGCATACCAGAGCTGTTGTCTTGGGAAACAGCTAAATTAGGTGCTGCCCAGGGCAGGAGACTAGTCCCTGTGGGGGGAGGGATATGCATGTTAGACTGCTAAACCAGGTAGTAGCTTTTAGAGACCCCTTTTACTTTCCAGGCACTATGCCCCAGAGGCAGGCTAGGAATAGAGGTTRACTGGATCCATCTATAGTGTCTACCTCAGGCAGATTAAGGAGACTATATGGAGTTCAGGTCCTTAGGATCTGGTGACRGACTAGATATGGAGTATGAGTTGGAAAAAGAGGTGTCTAGGGTAACTCCTGGGTTTCCAGCTTAGGAGACTGGGGAGGTTGGTTGTACCTGTTCTTTAAATAGAAAACACAAGAGAGGAGACAGCCTAGGAAGGCTGTGAAAAGAAGGGGATGGTAGCTAGAGGGCAATGTTCTCAGAATTGTTATTTCTTGGGGTGGGGGTTGTAGCTCAGTGGTAGAATGCTCTCCTGAGATGTGTGAGGCAAGTGTTTGCCTGATCAATGGTACTGCCAAGACACTGGATTAGATCCTCAGCATCACATTTAAAAAAAAAAAGTACTGTGTCGATATACAACTAAAAAATAATATTAAAAAAAGAATTGTTATTTCTGGTTGAGCATAGTGATATGATAGCCTGTAATCCCAGCTACTCAGGAGGCTAAGGCAGGAGGAGGATGGTAAATTTGAGGCTAGCCTGGWCAATTTAGTGAGACTCCATCTTGAAATAAAATATTTTAAAAGGGCTGGGGATGCAGCTCAGTGATCCAGCACTTTCCTACTTTGCATGAACCCCTGTGTTCAATCCCCAGTACCACACACAAAAAAGAAAAATTGTTATTTCTGAATAATTTGCTCCTTCCTGTTTGCTGAAGAGAAGGGCCAAGGCCATGGGAAGATAACTGAACTTGATAGAAGTAGTCTCTAGGGGTCCAAAGCTCAGATTGGAAGTAAAGGTTGACTTAGAAAACTAGTGTCTTCCAGGGAAGTTGAGGAAGTGTTTGCCTGATTAATGGTACTAGCCAATAGTTGTGCCAAGACTTCCAAGGCCCTGTCTTATTCTTTTTAGTGTTGGTGCCATCTTCTCCTTGGCACTTTCTCCTGCACGCCCTCTCTACTTCTTTACATGAAGGACAACACAGATGGTTAAGCTTCCTTGGCAGACAGCCTTAAAGAAATATTCTGTCTTCATTGTCCATGATACTTGGGCAACCCTGGGCCTGTATCCAAAAAGGAAAGACCCTTTAGTTCGAATCCTTCTAGGCTGAATGAGGCTGAGTTCTCTCTGGCACTTGTAGGTATATTTCCTTAATGCTGCCTTCCAACACATTGTTCAAAGATGATATGTGAGCCAGACGTGGTGGTGCATGCCTGGAATCCCAGTGATTCAGGAGGCTGAGGCAGGAGGATCACAAGTTCAAGGACAGTGTCAGCAATTTAGTGAAACTCTAAGCAGCTTAGTCTCAAAAAAAAAAAAAAAGAAAAAAAAAGAAAAGAAAGGAAGGAAGGAAGGGAGGGAGGGAGGGAGGACCGGCCAGGGATGTAGTTCAGTAGTAGAACCTCCTGGGTTCAATTTCTAGTACCAAAAAAACTCCCAGCAATATATGTCAAATGCTGTGCTTACATAAAGCTAGAGATGTGGACGGATGACCTTGAGACACCATATATACTGTTTTTTGAACAAGGGTCTCATCGAGTGGCAGTGCCTTGGTGAATACTTTCCCTTAGCATCTAGGTCCACAGGACCCTATGGTGTGTCCTGACTTGTCTTGCCATGGGCAGGGGGCAGTCTGGGGAGGGTGGAGATAAAAGGCAAATATTTCTTTTCTCCTTGGCCATTTGATGGCTTGCTTGGAGAGGAAATCTACCATCAGTGGGCAACTGCTTCATGTCCCAAGGGAGCATATTGCCTCCTTTTGCTTCTGTTCATGAGTCAGGCTTGCTGATTCATTGCTTTTTAACAACAAAGGATTATTTTATGATGAGAAAAAAGGCTATGTTGTAGCCCCAGGATGACTTATTTTACACAAATCCAAGGACTAGGAAATAATCTCGATGCTTAAAACAGCAAACAAAGTTCATTATAATGCTGGCTTACAAGCAAAGTGGAGATATTTTACTGCTGTGGCCTGCTTTTAGAGGCATATGTAGACAAAAGYGAATTTCATTTTCTCCTGGACTGCTAGAGGTCTTTAGCCCAGTCTAGATGGTCAAGAAGGCTTCAAGGCTGTGTTTTTCTACTCTTGGGAACAGACCAACCCAGGCTCCCTGGTCACTCACAGCACAGATTGGTGAGACCTTGGCATAATCTGAATGTCCACTCCTTGATTCAGAACAGAAGGAAGCTCCTGGCCCAGCCAAGGTGAAAACTCACTATGGCCTGTTTATGCTCCAGATAACTGCTGTACCTGCCTTGCAGATGGCATTTCCTCTTGGCAGGTGGCAGTTTACATAGCTGGCCTAAGGAATGCTGAGGATAATCCTCTAGCTTGTTTCCCTATAAAGCAAAGTCTTTTTTACGTGCCCAGTTCCTGACCTAGAATCCCAACCCCACAAGATTTGTCCATATGGTACATGTGCACAGATAGGACTTTGGACAGTATATTCCTGTCAGAGACCCAGATCCCAGTCTTTTCTTGGGCTGGCCAGAGTGGGCTTGTGCTCCTCATGTATATTGTTCAGGTGGAAAATTTGCACTAGAGTTTTACTCTCCTATTTATTTTGCACAAGGTGATACCAGAATCCCCAGGCCTTCATAGATCTTTGCCAACCTTTTCCGAATCCTCACTCTAAGACCCACGACAGTCTTCTTGTCCTTGACCCCTGCGAATTTTGCAGGCCACTTGTAGGTTCCAGCTCCCATGKTTGCCATCCCCAGAAAATACTGAACCTTCCAGACTCCTGCCCATGTGCCATATTTTGGGCATGGCCTCCTGACCTTTGCTTTACTCAGTTTCCAGAGGCTCCAGTGACTTTCTGTGGCTACAGCAAGGCGTGGGGTTATGGCACCAGGCTGGCCTTGCTGTTCCTCTGCAGTCTCCAGAGTGACCTTCCTAAATGGAAATGGAAGCACAGGCACCACCAGTGTCCCGATACGGAGGCTTCCTTGGCACTGGCCAAGGAAGGTCCAACTTTTTCTTTTTCTTTTCCTTCATTTTTTCTTTTTGGTACCAGGGACTAAACCCAGGGGTACTTAGCCACTGAGCCACATCCCCCGCCCGTTTTTAAACATWTTTTTTTAATTTTGAGACAGGGTCTCACTAAGTTGCTCAGGGCCTCATTAGGTTGCTGAGGCTGTCTTTGAACCTGYAGTCCTCCTGCCTCAACTTCCTGAGCCACTGGTATTACAGACATGCACTACTGTGCCCAGCAGGAAGGTCCATCTTTTTTTTTTTCTCTCAGTTGTCAATGGATCTTTATTTTATTTATTTATATGTGGTGCTGAGAATCAAACCCAGTGCCTCACACATGCTAGGCAAGCACTCTACCACTGAGCCATAGCCCCAGCCCGGGAAGGTCTATCTTATGTGAAAATTTCTGAACAGAAAGGACACATGAGGAACCTTTATAAAATAAAAAATAAAAAAAAAAAAGAAATGAGGTGCTGAGGTATTCTCCATTTGAATTACCTTAGTCATGTACCGCTAACACAACTAGGTTATATACAAAGCACTGAAGGATAGAGTTTTAGTGTTGGAGAAGCTCTTAAGAAAACAGTGATCCTGAACTGGACATAGTTGTGCACACCTATAATCCCAATCACCAAGGGGGGCTGAGGCAGGGGGATCATAAGTTTGAGACCAGCTTGGCCCACTTAAGCCATAYTCTGTCTCAAAATGAAATATAAAAAGAGCTGGGAATGTGGCTCAGTGGTTAAGCGCCCCTGGCTTCAATCTCCAGTGCACACACAAAATAAATAGATAAAATAAAATAAAAAGACTGGGAATGTGGCTCAGTAGTAGAGCACCCCTGGGTTCAATTTCTGTACTRCAAAAAAAAAAAGAAAGAAAATATTCATGAGACATAAATTTGAACATGGATTGGATGTTTTTATATTAAGGAATTTATTGTTAATCATTAATTTTTTTAAAGAGTCCTAAATTGGGTATGGTTTGGAATATAGCTTAGCAGTAGAACACTTGTCTACTTGTCTAGTGTGTATGAGGCCCTGGGTTCAACTCCTAACACACACACACACACACACACACACACACACACATCTTTTTATTATGGAGATATATACTGAAATATTTGGGGATGAAATATTTGGATATTTGCAGTTGGCTTCAAAATCATCCAGTGAGGGAGGTGGGAGAAAAATTGGGATATTGAATAGATGAAATGTGATTAGCCAAGTCTTGCTAATTATTATTTATTTATTTATTTTATGTGGTGCTGAGGATCAAACCCAGTGCTTGACATGTGCTAGGCAAGCACTCTACCACTGAGCAACAACCCCAACCCCAGTCTTGCTAATTCTCTTTTTTTTTTTTTTAAACTGGGGCCTTGTGCTCGTGAGGCAAGCACTCTACCAACTGAGCTATATCCCCAGCCCCAGTCTTGCTAATTCTTGAAGCCAGACAATGCTTGTTGATTTTACTATTTTTCTATATGTTTGAAATTTTTATCGTAAGAAATAAATAAAATTACTGAATAACAAAAATTCAAATGATCTTACTGCAGAAATGCTGTRTATTCTATGATTGTAACTATAAAAATAGGATTATATTTGGAAGAAGTATTATAATTATTTTGGGTTGGTGGGTTATGGTACCTTTCTGACTTAGAAATTCTCCATAGTCTTGGGAATTTTATGTCTGTATTTGTACAAAAAGTTTGTGAGGGATCTGATTGGGCCTACTTCACAACTTTTTCTTACCATATCACTATGAACATCTATCTTGGAATTATGTGGCTCCTTGGCTGTGCAATTTTTGATAATATATTGGTTAGTACATCTATATGGTTAGTGGTTGGTAAGTAAATGTATGAATGATCAGATTAACTACAGGGAATATGGAAAGGCTCCTTAATCAAAAACTCTAGGTAACAACCAGAAAGCTGAATTAAGATTGGAAAGGTTAGGAAATGAAGTAGCTACAGACTTGGAGTCGGGGGAAGAAATGATGGCTAGGTATGTCAGTATGTGTTTATACCAGGAAGCTACTGAAAGGGATGATCAGGGGAAGGAACCTACATTTGTGTGAGCTCTGAAAGCTGAACTCCTCTTGGTTTTGTTTCACAGGCCTGGTGAATAATGTGGTGTTCACCAGTCACACCACGGAACAGAGGCACCCCCTCCTTGTTCAGTTACAGAGTCTCATCAGGGCTGCCAATCCTACCACAGCCTTCATTCTTGCAGAAAATGGCATTGTCACCAGGTAAACTTTCACAGACTCCACTCTGCAGGACCAGCCCCTTTCTCAGATTTCTGCTTTATTGGAGTTCTGATCCCACAAGGCCTTTCCATTGTATCTAAGACCTGAGCATTTATAGAAGCCAGTTTTTGAAGTGTTTTTGACATTCTGTAAAAGTCACCAAAAAGACCTCATGTCAGTTTCCTACACTATTTTGAGGCATTTTGTTTGGTTTTGGTACCAGGGATCAAACACAGGGACACTTAACCACTGAGCCACTTCCCCAGTCCYTTTTTATATTTTATTTTGAGACAGGGTCTTGCCAAATTACTTAGGGCCTTGCTAAATTGTGGCATTTTGTTTTAAGGCATTCGTATTCCATACATTAAAGAATGKAAGTCAAGACTGTCTCAGTGTTACTTGTGTTAAGATGTGAGTGAAACTGGAAATATAACTTAAGAGCACTTGCCTAGCATGCACAATGTGGGTTCAGTCCCACATACTAGGGGGAAAAATATATGAGAGAAATGGCATAGAAAACATAGAGAAATTATCTCTTTATGTTAATTTTGGGTCCAAATAATAAACTTAAAGAATTAGTGAATTTGTATGTATACATATGTAAAGAGAAAATACCAGTGATGTAGCAATTCAGTTTGCTCAATTAAGATACTAAAAGGTGTATGGCAGTTTATATAGTTTTGATTTTCAAACCATGTAAGTATTTCATATATTCAAAAATTAAATCAAGCCTAAATCAGTCACCAAGGCATACACCTGTAATCCTAGAGACTGGAGGCTGAGGCTGGAAGATCACAAGTTCGAGATCAGCCTTGGCAACTTAGCAAGATCTGTCTCAAAATAAAATAAAAAGGGCCAGGGATGTAGCACAACATGAGGTTCTGGGGTTTGGTTCATTACCTCCCCCCMAAAAAATAATTAAATGGCTGGAAGTATAGTTTAGTATTAGAGTACTTGCCTTGTGTGTGTGCATGTGTGTGAGAGACAGACAGACACTGAGTTCAATCCCTAGCACCACCAAAAAAACACATTTTTTTAGAWGGAGGGGCTGGGGATATAGCTCATTTGGTAGAGTGCTTGCCTTGCATGCACAAAGCCCGGGTTCAATCCCCAGCACCCCCCACACACAAAAAAATCAAGTGGAGGGCTGGAGATGTGGCTCAGCGGTAGCGCGCTCGCCTGGCATGCGTGCGACCCGGGTTCGATCCTCAGCACCACATACCAACAAAGATGTTGTGTCCGCCGAGAACTAAAAAATAAATGTTAAAAATTCTCTCTCTCTCTCTCTCTCTCTCCTCTCTCACTCTCTCTTTAAAAAAAAAAAATCAAGTGGAGAGGGGGGAAAAATTAAATATGAACCAAAAATATGAATCTGTGAGTACATCAAAATAACAACAAATATGAGCAAAGGAATAACTAAGGTAGTTTTTTAATATCATCCTCTGTTGAAACCCTGATTGCAGATAGCATCACTGATCCAAGAAGAGAGATTATAAATATGAAATGGGGAAGGTGAGGAAAACCCTTCAAGTGTTGGATTTGAGTTGGGTACTCAATATAAGTTCATTATTTTTAAAAAATGTGTATTTCCTAGCTCTTTTCATTGAACGAGACCAAAATAGTAATACCATAGTAGCAATAAACGCCCCTACCTTCAGATCTTGGTTTGTAAGTATCATTGCCCATCATAGTTACCAGACAAAACTCCTTGGAGAATTGACTGATTGGAGGGAAAGTACAAGGCAAGCCTGGTCCATTTTATGCAAGTAAAGCTTGGAAGTACTCAAAGATCAGTGAAGATGTGTCAAAACAATATGGGAACTAGGTTAAAAAGCTTCTACAAGTCAAATTTGGGACAACTTGAGGATAATAAATAACAATAATAATATACTAAATGGAGAGAAGTAGAGACAACAAAATCTTTATAGAAGAGCCAAATAAATAAGAATTGACTGAAAATTAGCATTTGGGGTTGGAGATGAAGCTGAGTAATAAGAGTAATTGCCGAGCATGTGCAAGGCCCTGAATTCAATCCCCAGCCCACAAAATAAATAAATAGAAGAAAAATTTAAAATCTCCAGTTTAATACTTGACTTAGGGAAGATCATCAATGGGTGCTAACAGCAGTGGGTAAAAGATCATGGAGGAAAACAATATTCACTAGTCCTCACTGTCTAAAGTGTTACTCCATAGACTACTTAGAAAAATAGGAAAGTACCTTTATATTGGCAAGGTCTGGTAGACACTATGTTAACCAAATGATTGAACCTAATAAAACCTATAGTAGGACAAATTGATAGTGCCTCCTTGATATGAGTTAGTAGGAACATAACCTAGGAATTAATCTTCACCAAAAGCATTTAACCTGAAGCTAATTATGAGAAAACAATCAGATAAATCTAAATTGTGGGTATTGGCAAAATTATATTGTTACATTGTGTGCATGTATGAAAATATAACAACAACTTTAATCATTATGTAACAATTATAATGAACCAATTAAAAAATGTGTGTGTGGGGGGGACACATTGTGGGCACAAGATAACTGGTCAGCAAGGCACAGTGGTGCAGGCCTGTATGTAATTCCAGTGGCTCAGGAGGTGGAAGCAGGAGGATTGCAAGTTTGAGGCCAGCCTCAGCAATTTAGGCCCTAAGCAATTTAGTGAGACCCACCCTGTCTCAAAATGAACAAACAAAAAGGGCTGAAGATATGACTCAGTGGTAAAGCACCTGTGGGTTCGATTCCCAGTACCAAAAGAAAAAAAAATTGTCAACACTATGAAAAATAAAGGGAAAAAGTAAGGAAATATCCCATATTGAAGGAGAGTAAAGATTTTAAATTATTTTAGTGGGGTGGGGGTACCAGAAATTGAACTCAGGGGCACTCAACCATTGAGCCACATTCCCAGCTCTATTTTGTATTTGATTTAGAGGCAAGGTCTCACTGAGTTGCTTATTAGCACCTCGCTTTTGCTGAGGCTGGCTTTGAACTAGAAATCCTCTTGCCTCAGGCTCCCAAGCCATTGGGATTACAGATGTGCACCACTGTGCCTGGCAAGATTATAAATTTAATGAGTGATCCTTGATTGAATCTTGGCCCCTCTTTCTCACACACACACACACAAAATTGGAAACAGATGAATATTGAGTCAGCACCTCTCTAATTTTTAAAAAATATTTTTAGTTGTAGATATTCACAATATCGTTATTTTGTTTATTTAGTTTTTTTATGTGGTGCCAGAGATTGAACCCAGTGCCTCACATGTGCTAGGCAAGCACTCTACTACTGAGCCACAACCCCAGGCCATCCTRTTTTATCATATAAATGAATCTCTTGGGAATCTTTAAAAAATTAATTTCTAATTCAGTGAATCTGGAGTAGGACCTGAGATTTCACATTTCTAATAAGCTCCCATGTGATACCACTGATGATCATATATAATATTACATTCCTTGGGTGTGATAAAAGCATGGTGGTCCTGTAAGATAATACCCTTGTTCTTAGGAAATGCACACTGAATGTCATGATGCTTACAAGTGATTTTCACATGGTTTGACAGAAAAAAATTACATGCATGTGTGCTTATGTATATGTGGGGGTGTAGGGAAGAAGAAAATTATGCAGGTTAAGATTGACAATTCTAATTGACTTGGGTCTTTTCTAAATGTTTTCAAAGGAATGAAGACATTGAACTGATTCTCTCAGAAAATAGTTTTTCAAGTCCTCAGATGCTGCGATCCCGATATTTAATGTACCCTGGCTGGCAAGTATCATTACGAAGTAGCTAAAATTTCTTTGGAAGCCTAACAATCTGTTTATTTACAGAAAAAAAAGAGAGAAAAAAATGAATATATCAGATATGCTGTACACAAGTGATACATATTTATTGGAATGGTCTGCCATGTCCCAGATAGTGTTCTTGCTGAGAGCCCAATATTTCATGTCTTGAGATCTAAACTGGAAGCCTTCCTAGATATTGAGATTTAAGGCACCTATCTTGCAGGCACCAAGCACAACAGGATTCTGTATTTCCTCTGGCCACTAGTAAGGGTGAGGTGACTGGCATGGAACATTACAACTTCCCAGGTGAGAGAATCTCTCCTGAGAGTAAGTCAGTCAGTCCTCTACTTCCCAGCTGACAGGTAGGTTCCCTACTGATGAGGCCAGGGCTTGTTTTCTACAAACTACATGTCAGCCTGAGAACCTCTGCAGAGGGGAAAGGAGGGAAGAGAGTGTACAAAGTCCACCATAATCATAGTAATACCAACATAACGTGAGAACTCACTGTGAGTGCTAGGCCTTGTTCTAAGACTGCACTTTCCAATGTGGCCACCACTAGCTATGTGACTATTTAATATAATACAAATATAAATGAATAAAAATCGAAATTTATAATTCAGTCTTTTAGTCACACAATCACATTTCAAGTGTGCCAAAGCTGCCTGTGGTTAGAAGCTACCATATGGGACATTGTGGATCCAGAACACTTCCATTATTCCAGAAAGCTCTGTTGGGCAGTGCTGCTCTGAAAATTTTGCCTGTGTTGTGTCATTTAACCTTTACACCAAACCCACAAAATGGATTCCATTATTTTCCACATTTTATAGGTATAGACAACAAGGAACAAAATGACTTATTTAAAAGTTATAGTTAGTAAATAACAGAGTTGGATTGCAAACCCAGGTTGTCTGGCTTCCAAGCCTTGTGCTATACCTGTTCCTATACAGAATGGGCAGTTCATTTATGCTCTATTGAAAGTTTGGGGAAGACAATGTTAGAGCTTTGTCTGGTTTATCTTTGTTATCTTTACTCACTTTTCCCAGGCCCTCAATTGTTTGTACTAAAACTGATTGTACTGTGCTATAAAGAAAAAAMAGTGTGTGTGGGGGGGTGCAGCTCGGCCTGGTGGCACATACCAGTGATCCCAGTGATTCAGGAGGCTAGAGTAAGAGGATTGTAAGTTTGAGGCCAGCCTCAGCAATTTAGCAAAATGCTGAACAGCTTAGTGAGATTGTCATAAAATAAAAAGGGCTAATAGTAGAGAATCCCTGGGTTCAATCCCCAGTACTACAAAATAATAATAATAATAATAATAATAATAATAATAGGCCAGGCATGGTGGTGCACAGGAGGATCACAAGTTCAAAGCCAGCCTTATCAACTTAGCGAGGCCCTGAACAACTCAGCAAGATCCTTTCTGTAAATATAATATTAAAAAAATGGGCTGGGGATGTGACTCAGTGGCTGAGGGTCCCTGGGTTCAATTCATGATAACAAACAGTAATAATAATTATTATTTTTTTAAATAAGGTAACTTATATGGTAACTATACAAATAAAGGTAATATAGTTATCTAAATATGATACGATACGATAGATGAGGAGAAAGTATTTGCATTACATGTAGCAAAGGTATAATACAATATTTGGGAAACTTGGTTAGATGTTTAGAAAAGGACCAGGAAGGGTAGCACACACCTATAATCCCAGCAACTCCAGAGGCTGGGGCTGGAGAATCACAAGTTCAAGGCCAGCCTTACCAATTTAGCAAGGCTGTAGGGCATTTAATGAGAACCTGTCTTAAAATTAAAAAATAAGAAGGGTTGGGGATGTAGCTCATTGGTAGAGTGCCCCTTGGTTCAATCCAGTCCCAAAAAACAAAACAAAACAAAAAATACCCCAGGTCATATAGATGAGAACAGTTCACTTAAGAGCAAGTGTAAATAATGGAAATCATGGAAACAGAATTCAGTGTCAATAACATTCAGAAATGTTAAATGGTATATAGTATATAACAACACTCAGAGACCCAAGTACTTGTACTGAATTTTGATTGACACTATGTTCAATCAAAAATAYTTATAATACTTATTATAATATTCATCTCCTGAGAAATTGTTGTGAAACTAGTGTACTTGCCTGCTGCTGGGGGTGGTATAAATTTTTACTCATGCACCCTTTGCTGGAGTGATTCCAGTCATGGGGATTCATTTCAAGGAAATAATTCAAAAGAAGGACTAACAATTCCTCAACTGTGGAAGCGAGTAATGAGTACATAAGGCCTCATTATACTACATTTTCCATATTAGAAAGTTAAGGTTTTTTAATACTGTGGATATGACCACATATTCATAAAAAAAAAAGCTACATACCAGCCCTTTTTAGTTTTTAGAGYGGATCTCTCTAAATTACCTGGAGTGTCCTCAAATTTTTAATCCTCTGGTCCCAGCCTCCCCAGTAGCTGGGATTATAGGTGTGGGACACCATACCCAGATGACCATGCTCTTAATGAATCTGTGACAGGAACTGTGTCTGCTGAACTGAGAAAATAGAGCAGAGATGCTCCAGCCTGTCATTTCCTTTTAGAGAAAATATTAATCCACATGTACAGTCTGTTAAGCTGCCCGCAAGGAGATGGTAGGGCATGGTTAGAGCCCTGCAGGGGCTGGGGGAGGATTTAAACAATTAAACATTTAAACAATTGTTTTATATGTAGAATGGCATACRAGTAAAGGAGAATTATAGGATAAATGATATACAGTTTATCCCAAAGTAGTATATAACAACACTCAGAGACCCAAGTACTTGTACTTAAATTTTTCTTAAACATTTAAAGGTATGAAGGTAAATTCAATTCTGGATCAGTCTTCCCACTGATGGTTCAGATCTGCGTATGGTTTGGCCGTCCCTTGGAGAAAACTCGCTTTGTGGCCAAGTGTAAAGGTGAGCCTTGGCTGGGACATCTCCCAGACCCTGGTGAAAAGAGTACCCCAGACTGTCCTGCTTCCTCGCACCATTTCAATATCCTATGTGCTGTCTTCTCACATTTGTGACCAAAAGCAGCAGAGGGATTTGAGGACCCAGGAATCCCCTATTTCTGATCTTGTGACGCCATAAAATTTGATCTCCACTCCATTGGAAAAGTTTTCCCATCCTTGGAAATAGTGGCAGAGCCCGAGGAGCAAGAGGGTGGGGATAGGAGCTATGAATCCTAGACCTGGAATAGGGTCCTCCCCAGTTCCTAACCCTCCCAAATGTGCCACCCTGGACTTAGCCTCTGCACCCAGGTGGTGACCCTGTCCTCTTCCTCCACCAGCAATTCAGTCCTCCATCAAGCCAAGTCCCTTCTCTGGAAACATCTACCACATCCTGGGCAAAGTGAAGTTTTCAGGTAACTGGGGGGTTAAATTTGGGAACCCTACATCATGAAGTGCTTACAGCTTGTGACAAGAGTTCATAGCCTCTGCTGGTACCCTGTAGACCACTGATGCCTCTCCAAATCTCTAGCACCCTCTTCTGGGCCTCCTACCATCAGAGTGCTTTTCCCCAAGGACCCACTTTCCTTAGATTCCCTTGCACCACAGTGGAGTTTCACCCTCATCATCTAGGATCACCCCTGGATGACTTGCTCAGTCCTCTCCTCACAGTTCCTTGATTTCCTTGTTGTAAAGACTCATACCCCACCATGGCTTCCTCCTAGACATGTTACCAGGAGCTGCCCAAAGTTGATCTCTCTGGCTCCCAATCTGTGTATGACCAAAGTCTTTGAGCCTTCTAACTTGCCTTCTCCTTCCTTCTGTTTGGCAGGCCCGTTCTTCAGCCTTAGACCCCTGCCCTTGTGACCTCAAAGTCAAACCTGGAATGGGGGCCAGATAAGGCCTCAAAACTAGGAGTTGGGCCTGGCGCCGTGGTGCACACCTAGAATCCCAGCGGCTCTGGAGGCTGAGCCAGGAGGATCACAAGTTCAAAGCCAGCCTTAGTAAAAGCAAGTCGCTAAGCAACTCATTGAGACCCTGCTCTAAATAAAATATAAGATAGGGCTGGGGATGTGGCTTAGTGAACAAGTGACCCTGAGTTCAATCCCCAGTACCAAAAAAAAAAACCTAGTAGTTGAGGAAGGGGAGAATATACCAGGTTAAAGGCACAGTATTTGCTGTAGCCCAGAGGTAAAAAAAAAAAAAAAAGGAGCATTTTAGGAATTAAAAGGGGTTTACTGTGGTTGAAGCCTGAGAGAAGGGAGTTGGGGAGGGTTTCTGCTAAAGTGCCTGTAGCTGTTATGACAGAAAAATCCCAACTCAAGCCATGATAACGCATGCCTGCATTTCCAGGTTCTTGGGAGGCTGAGGCAGGAGGAATGATTGCAAGTTTGAGGCCTCAGCAACTTAGTGAAACCCCGTCTCAAAAAAAAAAAAAAAAAAAAACGTGTTGGAGATTTAGCTCAGTGTTAGAGCACTTGTGTAGCATATGCAAGGCTATGGGTTCAATCTTCAGTACCACAAAAAAAAAAAAAAAAGAAAAGAAAAAGAAAAACCCCAGCCCCCAACTCAACTAGCATTTGTTGGCTGTTTAGCAAGAAGTCAAGAGGCTGACTAGCAGAACAAAGCCACTGAGGCCAGGTAATGTATGTCTGTGTGTTCATCCATTCTTGTAAGTACTGCACTAATCAGTTGTGCCCCCAGAGCTCCTTTTTCTTCCATTTAAAAAATCTTATTTATTTATTTATTTGTTTGTTTGTTTCATATGTAGATGGATAGTCTGCCTTTATTTTATTTATTTATTTATTTATTTATTTTCTAAAGAGAGAGTGAGAGAGCGGTAGAGAGAGAGAGAGAATTTTTAATATTTATTTTTTAGTTTTTGGCGGACACAATACTTTGTTTGTATGTGGTGCTGAGGATTGAATCCGGGCCACACGCATGCCAGGCGAGCACGCTACCACTTGAGCCACATCCCCAGCCCTTATTTATTTTTTAATATTTATTTTTTAGTTGTAGTTGGACACAGTACCTTTATTTGATTTATTTTTATGTGGTGCTGAGGATCAAACCCAGGGCCTCACATGTGCTAGGTGAGCGCTCTATTGCTGAGCCACAACCCTAGCCCTTTATTTATTTTTATGTGGTGCTGAGGATTGAACCTGGTGTTTCACATGCGCTAGGCAAGTGCTCTATCACTGAGCTTATAGTCCCATCCCCTCTTTCTTCTTTTCTTAACATGTCAACTTGTCCTAAGGTTCCTGGCCCTCATGGTTGCCAGGTAGTGCTGCAGGCCTAGGTGTCAGCCAGATACTGTATCCAGCAAATAGAGGCTGGTTCTTCCTGTGGGTATCCCTCTACCCCACAGCAGTACAGGGGATCAACCCAGGGTCTCACWTATACTCCATAAGCATTTTACTATTAAGCTACACCCCCAGCTGTTTTTTTTATTGAGATGGGATCTCATTAAGTTGCTGAGATTGGCCTTGAATTTGTGATCTTTCTGCCTCAACCTCCTGAGTAGCTGGGATTGTAGGCATGCCCTACCATGCCCAGCTCCTGTGGGTATCTTTGTCAATGCAGACATCTCTCCTCTTACTGTCTTTCAAGGGCTTCAGGTGAAGAGTCAATCTTCTCTTCTTATCTAAAAACCTTTTTTCCTCTTATATTACCCTTCCTGATTAATAGTATCCATCTAATCACCCAAATCAACCATGCCTGAACTTTCTTTTGCTTCTTCCTCTCTTACTGCATCTTTTCTAACTTGACAGCAGTCACATCAGTTCTCCCTTCTGTACTTTCTTAGGAATCTGTTCCAACCATCTGCATTGTTAGTATTGCCTTATCCTTTCAGAGTAGCATCTCAGGGACAAACCTATATTCTCCTTGCAGACTCTGAAAGGACCATGGAGGTCTGCCACAACACTCTGGCCAACTCCCTGAGCATCATGCCAGTTTTGGATGGACCCACACCACCTCCTGACTCAAGAAGTACACCTCAAGACAGCAATGGGCAACAAGAGTGCTACCTGGTATTCATTGGCTGCTCCCTGAAGGAAGATAGTCTCAAGGACTGGCTACGGCAGTCAGCTAAGCAGGTGACTACCAAAGCCCAGACAGACCTGTCACAAATGTGCCCAGCACACACTTCAGGTTGCCAATGGCCCTGACAAGCCCCTCATCTACCTCCTCACTGGTCCAAACCCCATGGGCTCAGCCAGCACTTTTTAAAAATATATCTATTTATTTTTTAATTGTAGTTGGACACAATACCTTTATTTTACTTATTTTTATGTGGTGCTGAGGATCGAACCCAGGGAATCGAACGTACTAGTTGAGCACTCTACTGTTGAGCCAAACCTCTCAGCATAGCCTCAGAGGTTTGGCTAACCCTAGAACTCTATGAATAGAGTTGGCTGAGGCTTGGGTCTTTTGTTGACGGTCAATTGAGGCTTAGCCCACCTAGGTAAACTCTTTTAAATGGTGCTTGACTGTGGGACTTGAACTGTGCCTTTGTCAGCACTTCTGTCATTGGTGGGGCTTAGGGATGAGAACCTGAAAAGAGGCAGGACCAGGCCCATTTGCTAAACTACTGGACTACCTGCTGTTTTTTTGCCCACTGCCTTGCAGGGATCTGGTGGGAAAGTAGGTCTCCTTTGGAGTTAGGTAGGCAGGATATTGTGCACAAGCTGGAACAGCTTATATGCTTTTCCCTCTGCTGAGAACTTCATTATGTAACTGACCCCCCAGAGCACTGAGACCTCACCATGCTCCATCAGCTTGGTTATAGTTTGTCCCTTCCCTACATTTCTTCACAGAAGCCTCAGAGAAAAGCTCTGAAGACCAGGGGAATGCTGACTCAGCAGGAGATCAGGAACATCCATGTGAGTGTCCTGTGTTGACCTCCCCTTATGGGCCCAAGGTGGTCCTCCTGGGTTTGCATAGCTCTTATCTTCTGGGTCTTTGAGTGAGGGGCTATTTGTAGGGCATGCTGGAAGTGTTGCTTCTCTCAGGCCACAGAACAAAGAAATCCAGCCTTGCATTCTTAGAGATGGGCAACCTCTGGCATGACCTCGGCATAAGATCAAGGAGATCCAGTTCTTGTGGGAGTAGTAGGTCATGGTGGGAGTAGTAGGTCATGGAAGACCTGGACTTGTCACCTTCTTCAAACATCTGCTTCTATTCAAGATGAACCTCAGAGAAACCAACTAGGGCCCAGAAAAAAACTTTCTAGATCCAGAGCTGCTCGTGGGATGGTAATGGATTCCCTTGATGAGCCTTCCCCTGCAAAACTCCAAGCCGACCTCTGGCCTCTGCCCCAGGCCCTGTGGCTACTGGGGCCTTTTCTCCCAGGGATTTAGTGGGAAAATGTCAAAAGAAACAGAGAGTCTAGGCCCTAGGATGAGCTGTGTTACCAGTCTCAGTAATGAACTGGTAGATCAGGAGAGTATTCTCCTGATCCTCATCTATGAGCAGGGGACCGGTATCAATCATGGCCTGAAGGTTGCTGGGGGAATAAATTCCCTGCCCACCTAACATGGAAGAATAGACTATTTTACTGGGATAATGGCCTGTTTGTTTTTAATGAATGATAGAAAGTGGTCAGATAATTCTAACAGGATTCTTTTTTCCAACAGGTAAAGCGCCACCTGGACCCACTACCTGCAGGCTATTTTTACAATGGTACTCAGTTTGTTAACTTCTTTGGTGACAAGACTGATTTTCACCCACGTATCCTTAGGAGCAGCTCGATTTCTGAGTAGAAACTGAGGCAGTCTGGGAGGTGCAAGCCTGTCTGTAAAGCAGGTGTCTGCTAGGGCCAGCACAGCCAAGCCCCTGGAGCAGTCAGGGTTCTGCAGTATCAGGGACTGGGGAAATAGGAGCAAACTAAAGGGTTACACTTTTCATTTTGACCTTTTAAAGCTGTCAAAATTGGATTTGTCAGCTGGATGTTCTGGCATGAGTCTGTAGTATCAGCTACTTAGGAGACTGAGGGGTGGGAGGATCACCTGAGACCAGGCTGGGCAGTATATAGAGACCCTGTCTCAAAAAGGAACAACAACAATAATAACAAAAGTTTAATTTGTCCTTTATTGAGTGATTTTTCAAGTTACCCTATGGGGTATAGTTTGAATGGAGCTATAGTGACACCCTGAGTTTTGTAGTCACCACAGTCATGATTTATAAGTTGTAAATAGCCTGATAATAATAGTTAATCTCTGAAAGATAAGCAGAGTAAACTGTGAGACTGGGGATCCACTGTGTGCTAATGAAGCTGCATTCTGGGACCTCATGAAGGCCCTGTGCCAATACCTGTCACAATTTTTGTAGGTGTGATGCTGCCTGCAGTTACTTCAGTGTCCCCTTMCTCACCTGCTTCCTTGGGGCCAGAAAGGTTTCCATATCCTCCAGGCTCAGGGCTCTCTTCCTTAACTAGTTACCAGTCATGGACCAGTTCATGAATGACTATGTAGAAGAAGCAAACCGGGAAATTGAGAGGTACAACCGGGAGCTGGAGCAGCAGGAGTACCATGACCTCTTTGAGCAGAAGTCCTAGAGGAAGCTGGGTCCATATACCCACCAGAGATGGACAAATGGGGTGTCTAACCCCAGCTCTCCCAGGCACCCTCCTGGAGGGGCTGTCTTTGTCCTTTTTGACTTTTGTGTGCTGCTGGAGTACATGTTGTCATTTTTCTCTCTACAGCGCTGAAAGGCATCACCTGCACCACTGATTGRGGGGTGGGGGTGGGGATCCTCAAGGATGAGCAGACAGGACTGCCCATTGTGTGCAGCTGTCAGTCCAGGCCCTCTGGGTCTCTGGTAACAGTAGATTTTTTGAGCTGCTGAGGTACCATGTGAAGGGAGAAGCATTTGCATTGCACAAAGGAACTGCCAGGACTTAGAAGGAACCCTGGCTGCCCCATCATGGCAGTGCCTGGGGAATAAGACCACTCCAGGCCTCAGGCCTCAGATACTACCCCAGGACCCTCATCCCCAGTGGGGCTTGCTGCTTCTGCTTAGGGCCTTTCATTAAAGGAGCTGGCCCTATTGGCCCTAGGCCTGGTCTATGGGGGAGCAGCACAAGCCCTGCCCAAGCCAACCCACAGAGCCAGCTAAGATCCATAGCATGTTCGAAAATGAGGGGATTTCCCTTGTGGACTAAACTGAGAAAAAGGCATGTTTTCTAGAAGTGTGTGGCTCTTCAGTTGACATCAGCAGTCCCCTTGTGATTCATTCTGAGCTCTCCTGTGGTATCACTTGTGTCCCAAATTCAGGGACAAGACCAAACCTGTGGCCCAAGGCCTATTGACACTGGTTTTCTATCAAGGGGAGCATCCTGCAAGTAGTTAGTCTTAGGCTCAGGGAAGGTCTGCTTTTCAACCACAAACTTCAGAAAACTCATGCCCTCACCCCCCAACCATTGTTTCTTAACCCTGGGTTTTCTTGGCTCCAATGGATCAGAAATGTCAAAAGAGTTCTAATATGCAAGTTAGAATTCCTTCCAGTGGCTTTGTTTTCAGATGGACCATAAAGCAAAGGGGAATTAAATTGTGTTCCATGTCTGACCTTCATAGTTAGTGTGGGGGACAGGAGATCACAGGCACTGATATTAAGGTGATATCTATTAGGATTTCAGCACCTCAGCTGCCTAGGTTGTAAATGTTTTCTGAATTTCATGTTCTTTTGCATGCCTTAGAAAGAAGCACATAGGTGAAACCAGCATAGTTTCCTGTAATGTAGAGGGGGTTTTGGGAAAGACCCTTGTTGCAGAGGATGGAGCCAGGATGGAGCACATGGARTCTGTGTGCATAGTCACACAGCATCCTGCAATGCAAGTAACAAAGCAGTTATCAAGGGCTCGTCAGTAAAATATACGTATATTAGAGAAAAACAATTTATGTTTGAAATCAAATGAATAAAATTACAAATACCATTGAATGAGAAATCTTGCATTAAGAAAGGCTCCTGAAATTCAGATCCATGTGCTTCAGTCCTAGCTCCAAAAGCCACTGGTGACAATGGCTTCTCTGTGGAGCCCAAGTCTGGGAGCCCTGACTTCTGGCTGGCCAGAGTTCAGGGCCACAAATGGCCTGCCTCTGCTTCAAAATCAATAACATAGATCTTAAGTGCAATTGATTAATAAGCAATGAGTTACTGTAGCTTCCTTTAGCTCTACCGAGCTCTTTTTAAAAACTCAAACTTGAGCAGCCTTAGAAAAGGGAAGGGGGTGGGGGGGACACGGGCCATTTCATTTCCTCCAGGGGGTTRCTGTGAAGTTTTCAGTGGAAGCTCTAGATGTAGGAGCATGAGCCATTTCCTGGCTGCCCTGGCCTGGCAGTCTGGCTGCTGCACAAGAGTTTTTAAAGGGGGGTCGGAGCCCACCCATGAAAGTGGGCCTCCCACCACGTGGGGCTGCACTACATGGTGATCTTGATTTCTGACCATTGTCCATAGAAATGCTCTCTCACCAACCTGCCCCACTGTCCCCACTCCTCTCTTTGTAGAGGAAAAACTGTGATTACCTCAACATGAATACGAAACTGTGATTGAAAAAAGGCAAAATGTTAAGAAGTATCAAAGCCAAAATGGCAAAACTGGCTGAGGCCTCTACAGACACTCCCCAGCCTGCTCGGGAGTGTGAAAGGGCACCGTGGTGAAAGGGCATTCCTGGGCACACTTGCTGTGCTCCTGGTGAAGGGCACAGTAGCGGCACACTGTGAGCTCCTTGAGGACTGGGGCTGGGAGCATGCAAGCCTCTCTCGTTCTGACTGTAGAGTTTAATATCCACTTTATCCTGTGGGTCAGGGAGCAGGGTCGTAGGCTGTTTCCAGAGAAAAGGCCATGACACTGTGTTTTGATCTTAGAAGTGGATGCTAGGGACCCAGCAAAGACAGGGGGTTCATTTCCCAGGGACAGGCAGAAGTCCTCCAGGGGCTTACATGCTTTTTGCCAACTTTCCTGTTAGCAGCTTCAGTTTTATATCACCAGAGTGAGTGGAATAATGGTGAAATCACTGAAGTTATGGTTTATTTTCCTTTTTTTTGGGGGGGGGGTGTCTTCCATTTCTCCTTCTCTCTAATTGAAAGGAGGAGGCAGAAATTGGAGAAGATGGATCACCCTAGGAGGGGGCAACAGGCAAGAAGTTTAGTTTGCCCTGCTGATCCCTGAGGCTCTCGGATCTGAAGCCTGGACACTGGCCCTTCAGGTGTGATACAAAGTTCCCTCCTAAATTCTATTAGGATTTTGGAGAATTTTTGCACAGTAATAAGCTCTGGGTTGCTCTTTGGGCTTCTCAAAAGGGAAAAGTTCAACTCAAAAGATTGTAAACTATGAAGTATTCCAGCCATGTTGCTGACTAGTTGGATAGATGTACCTCAAAAAGTAGGTGAGAAATGGCTTTCTCAGTGTCCACTAATGACATAAGAGCTCACTTACGTGCCAAAATTCACTTTTATACTAGTTTTTCAGTGCTTTAATATTTGTAACTTAAATTTTAAAACTCATATTTACAAACACTACTGTAACTTCAGTGAAACTGAATTGTGTGATTGAAGCTTTTTGCTTATTATAATATTTATTATACTACTTAATTCAGTAAATATATAAAAAGTAGTCTTCAATTTATTTTTATATTATTTTACATGTTTTTACCTGCAGTTGTGTATGTGAATTTACCTTGGTAATTAAGATGTAATGCTAAAGACCAATAAACTATCATTGAACAAGCAAGGCTTCCCATTATTGCCTAGCATGTAGACTATCTAGAGGTGTCCCTGGGATAATATGGAGAAGGGACACCTCTAGGGCCTGGGGACCTTCCATCAGCCTGGCTGGGACTCCCCTTTGCTGGGGCTGGGGCTCACTTTTCTCTCTTCAGTCCTCAGATACTCATGGAGGACAGAATTCATACAAAGAAACCATCTTGGTTTGTAGGGTGGGCATTTGGAGAACCCCAAAAGCTGGATAGGGGCTCAGGAAAACCTACTGAGCCCAGAGAAAGCCTTCCCACCTCTGCCTGCTAATGCCTCACCTTCCATTTTTTAGTGGTTATTTTTTTGTTTTTTTCCTTTATTTTGGGGGGTGCTGGGGATGGAACCCAGGGCCTCACATATGCTAGACAAGAGCTGTATCACTGAGCTGCACCCCCAACCCCTTGCCCTGTCTTTGCCCCAGCTCCGGTTAGAGCYTCAGCTCTGGCAGGGCTGTGTGGACTCATTTCTGCTCAGTAAAAGCTCTGTGAGGTGGCCCCTTGGTCCCACTTAAATGTGGTGGCTAAGACACAAATGGGTCCAGTAACTAGCACAGGTGGCAGAGCCTCTGTTCTTGCCCATGTTGAGTCAGAGAGCCCTTGCAGTGCTTAGATCTGAAGCAGAGCCTTGGAATCTCAAGTTCTCAGAAGTTGGCTGAAGCCCTCAGAGCATTAGCAGAAGACATACAAATGCAGGAACTGTTTGAGGGCATCCCAGGTTCCTCTCACCAGGCGTCCACCGCAGGTGGTTCAGACCTCCCTCCGTTTACCCCCCACCCCCACAGGATCCAATGCCTGTGGGGGAAAGGGCTGATCTGGGAGGACACCCACCCCAGGCAGCCTAGTCCATAAAGAGCCTGTTTCCTGTCATACACATGCTGGCCCAGGGCAAGGGGAAGTGCCCCATGGACAGATTTGGTTGCTGGCCCAAAGAGGAAGGTGCAGCCTCCACGGGTGTCTTCCTGAAGAAGTTATCTGAGATCACTTAGACATGTACAAATCAAATGCAATACTGCACGGGAGGGGTCTGATAGAGAAGGTCTGTGACAGCACCATCACCCTCCCCAAATCCCTTTCCCCTGGAGCCTCCTGCCTCCCATTCTGCAGAATGCAGGCTTGAGCTCCTGTGCTTTCACTTCTGCCCAACCTCCAGGGCCTGGAAATTAACCTTAAGAATTGCCAGGGAATTGTCGGGGGAGATGCTAAATGTCCAAGGGCTTCCTGGCCTGGGTCATCTTTGAGAGTCAGGGAAACTTTTGAGTGTCAGAAAAGGAATAGTGAAGGGGGGGGGGGGGCCTTCAGTGGGGACAGAGGACAACTGAAACTTGAGAGCTGTTTGACAGTAGAATGGAGACCCAGAAGCAGGAATCCTGGTGGTACAGACCTGTGTGATTTAGAGCAGAATTTCATGTGGAGCAGTTGATAATTGGCAGGGCTCTCTGAAGAGCACAGAGAAATAGTGATATACTAATTTCTATCACACACTCTAGGGGACAATCAAGCCCAGACAAAACATAACCATATGCCCTACTTCCAGTCCATGACAAAAAGGAATAACTTGATTACCACTAACAGAGTCCAAAATAAAACCAGCTTCAAGGGGCTGGGGATGTGGCTCAAGCGGTAGCGTGCTCGCCTAGTGTGCGTGCGGCCCGGGTTCGATCCTCAGCACCACATACAAAAAAAAACGAAGATGTTGTGTCCGCCGAGAACTAAGAAAAATAAATAAATGTTAAAAATTCTCTCTCTCTCTCTGTCCCTCTCTCTCTCTCACTCTCTCTTTAAAAAAAAAAAAAAAAAACAGCTTCAAGTTCATCTGGACCTGAGTGCTCAGATGGTATCAGGGTCCTCACTTCATCCTTGGTGGCCTCACTCTCCCCTATCAATGGCATCTTCTGTGTCACCAATAGCCTCAACACCCCCAAAGGCAAAACCCCTCCCCYAGAGGCATCCACAAAGTCTGGGGTCCTATTCCCAACCCTGATCCCTCACAATGCACAGGAAAAATGGAATAGTCTAGTTAGGCATGATGGTGTACACCTGTAATTTCAGCAAGTCTGGAGGCTGAGGCAGAAGGACTACAAGTTTGAGGCCAGCTCAGCAACTAGCAAGACTGTCTCCAAATAAAAAGGGCTAAGGTAATTGAATCCCTTGGATTCAATTCCCCAGTGTCAAAAATAAATAAATAAAATAAAAAATGGAAAATTTTGTGGGTGGGATACTGGGGATGAAACTCAGGGGCACTCCATTGCTGAGCTATACCCCAGTTCTTTTTCTTTCTTTGTTTATTCTGTGGTACTGGAGAGTGAACCCAGGGGTATTCTATCATCAAGCTTCATCCTCAGCCCTTTTAAAAAATTTCTTGCCTGGCATGGTGGTACATGCTTGTAATCCAGTGATCAAGAAAGCTGAGGCAGGAGGATTGCCAGCCTCAGCAATTTTGTGAGACCCTGTCTCAAAAAGTACTGGGGATATAGCTCAGTGGTAAAGTGCTCTTGGTTTAATCCCCAGGACCAAAAAAAAGTAACCCCCTCAAAAAAAAAAATGGGGGCTGGGGTTGTGGCTCAGAGGTAGAGCACTCGCCTAGCATGCATGAGGCACTGGGTTTGATCCTCAGCACTGTTAGGCTCGAATTTGGGACCCCCAAAAGACCGCCAGAGACCAAGATCAATGTAAGCAGCAAAGAGGTATTTATTTCGAGCTAGCTCAGACACTGAGGTCCTGAGCCCAGGGTTTGCAGCAGTTTTATACATTCTTTGGAGAAGGCAGGGACCCCCACATACATCATAGCATCTCTTAGCAAATCATCACACACTGCGGGAAAATCATAAAACAACTCTAAAACATGATTAGCACATTCACTGGCGGGAACAAGTTGGGTAAGGGTGATTGATTAGTACAAGAGGGGGATTCATTTGACCTGATTGGTTTAAGCCTCGAGGGGAGTATGAGCTGAACTACATGGTTTCCCAACATGTTATCAAGCACCATAAACTACTGGGGGAGTCATCTGGCATCCCAGGTATTTTCCCTGTCTCAGGCTGATTGATAGTTGCTAGGGGGTTGCTATGGGTCCTCACCTAGCCTGACTGAGTCAGGGATACCTGGTGCAGCAGATCTCTCCTGTTATTTGTASATAAACAACTCAGCAGGGTGGGTATGTGCCTAGGAGTGCTCTGTGGGGCTTTCCAAGCGCCACAAAAATATAAAATATCGTATTCACTTATAACTAAAAAATGAATATTTT